TTCATCCCCATACCAAAGCCACTTCATTAGTGATTGCTTTGAGCTAGCAGGCCTTTTCTATCTTGTGCAATTATTCTTCCCCCTCCTGTTGCCTACTTTCTCATAAAATCATAGCAAAAAAGGAGGCAGCAATCTTTTGTAAGCTTAGGTTGAGTAGATCTAATAAACAGGTGTATGATATCCGTCACGTCCTTCAAAGCAGTTGTTATCTTCTGTAATTGCATGGTTCACATTTTATATCACCTGTGCAGTGTGTATATATATGTAAGGTAGTTAATTCTCTCTGCTGATTCTTTGTGGCTTTATGGAAAGCAGCCTTCTCCAAGGGCTCCTACACTATAAGGGTTATATGTCTTTTTTTTTTTTTCTGAACTTATCTAGTGGACTAAATGTAACTAGATTAAATGAAGAGGAATTGCTAAGACCCTCTCCAAAAGAGAGTTTTGGCTAGTGTAACTGTAGAGTAGATGGGAAATGAATCTATTGCCTTTAGCCCTTCAGTGCATAGGAAGGAATTCCTTTGAGGAAAAAGTAGCAGGCTGGGCCCCTGGAGAGCGTAGGAATTAAGTGAAAAGGAGAAGAGGGAAATGGACATTTATCTCCTGAACTACAAGAAGCAAAATCCTGCCCTGTGACCTGACCATGATTGTGTATGGGTAAGAAAGGCCTCATGCTATGGAAAGGACTTTGTTTCTGTCCTCTCTAGAGGCCAACTTCTCTGGAAGCAGAAAGGCTGGAGAAACAAGGTCTATTTTTGGTTTTGGGGGAACAGGGGTGCCCCTTCATAGCATCAGCAAACAAGCTAAGATCTCAGAAGAAAATTAATATTTATTTATAATAACTTAATTGCTACTGCAGGACATGTAAGTCCTAATAGATATGTTCTACTATAGCAAAGTATTCAAGGCCCAGGTGTCCAAGGGAAGATACAGGAATATGCTACAAGACCATGAATCGTGGCTGGGAGCTGTATCTGGAAAGACCTCAATGAGGGCAGAAGGAAGTTTGAGCTGTGGCAGTTGAGGAAATCCTTTGGACCCAGCAGACCAAATCTCCTATTTAGTAATATCCTATACTGCATATGTGATATGGAAACTGCTTGTTTTTTCATGTATGATTTATACAAAAGTTTTGGATCCATGGTGGGTATCTGAACCCCAGGTTTCTTACTTTTAAAAACCAAGTTAAATTCAAAACCACACCTGTTGAATCTTTATTGGATGAGGTAAGTTGGAGAAAGAGAGAATTCTCTCTTGCACAGAATCAAGAAACACAAGTTCCACATGCTCAGGCAGTGACTTTCAGCCTTTGACCTCAGTTGTCTGCTGCCAAGACTGCAACTAATGAAAAGAGAATAAAATACTACAGCAAACTTGAATCCTAATGTATGTTGCAATAATTTAATATTTAACATTTAAAACTTTAGATGCTTTTTTTTTTCTCTCTAAAGAACGAAACTATTAGGAATGGTTTTCTTTAATTCCAGCCTACTAGATAAGAGACCTGGATAAAGGGATTCCTTGGAATGCAAGCAAGAATGAATCCTTAGCAGTGTGGACTCCATATGTTTATTGGTCTCTCCCTAGTGCAGTGGCAGAGATGCTTATCACTACAGCTTGGCTTTGGAAGAGTGGACCTTCAGAGCCTGCAGCCAGCGTTGGATGCAATCTGAATGTACTGCAGCATCCAGACATGTCACGTGTCCCTGCTCAGCTTGAAGCTAGGACCCTCAAGGAGAGGGTCTAGTATTCTGGCTGAAAGCTTTATCAGATTTGGAGGTGCTGTGAAAAAGCTGGTGGGTGTGTTTAAAGCTGGTAATTTTTCACAGAAGCTTTTCTGTATGGAGTAGAAATAAGCCTTCCCTTGTGATACTGATTTTTTTCATTTCTTTTGGCAATAGTTAGGGAATGAAGTGTATGGTGCTGGGGTGGAAACTGTGGTAGCAAAGCAAGGTATTCACCCTCTGGTTACTCACAGGTGATGAGGAGAATATACTTTTGCCCAGATAATACAGGGATGGGTAGTTTCCTTCAAATTCTTTTAGGTATAATTATGGTATTTATTTCTGCAAATTTAATATTGCGTCTTTCTTTTCCTTAAAGTTTAACTTCTTTTTATGGATATGTGAGATAGATACTGCAATGAAATTGTGTAGCTTTTTTTTATAGCTATCAGCGGGTGTCCTTAAGGAGATTGCCACAGCAATTTAATAATAGGCATGCAAGAACATGTAACCACTGATGAACACTGTCCAAAAAGATTCCCTCTGCAGTTCTGTTCTGATCCTTTTTTTCACTCTTCCTTCAGTGTGATCTTTTTACTATAACATCTTTAAAATTTGTGGGAGGTGGTAAAAAGGTTCTTTGTTAGGTGAATCCTCAAGTCAAAGCACTCTTCAAATTGCTTGTATAGCGTGAATTTGCTAGAAAGCCAAGCCGTGACTGTGAGACCTGGGGTGCTAAATATAGTGGGAATACTGAGAAGAAAACTTGGTGCTTTACTTGGGGAGTATACAGACAGTATACACCATACAGTTGGTGTGGTGAATCCTGTGGTCCTAGGAGCTGCTCAACCTTGAATAATTTTACATGATAATGATGTAAGTAACTCTTTGTATCTGGGACAACACAGAATTTATCCATTCATCAATGATGGGCCTGGGTTGTCAGGTAGGTAAGTTTACTCATTTTATTCACTACACCACCTTTGTCTAAGGCAACTGCTTTTTGAATCTATTGGCATTAATGTGTTCTCCTTTATACACTTGTACACACAGGGGAGCGTACCATCCTGAGCTACATCTTATTTGGATTATTTTTGTCTTGTGTATTGTCTCAAGGCTCCTCGTAGCTGCTCCACATGTCTGCTGGACAGGTGCTGCTCCAGTTACCAACTGCTGTAGCTCGGAGTCTAATCATCCCTTCCTATGCATGGAAACTCCTGTCTGGACGCTCACCCTCCAAAAAAAGCTATGAGGAAAATACATTAATTAAAGGCCTTCTCATTTTATATTGTTTTAGGAAATATTAATATACATTATATATATAAAAGAGAGAGAGAAGAACTTGACTTATTTTTCTTTGTCTACTGCCAACCTGTTCCTGATTGTTTATCTAGTTACTGTCTATTCCATCTGCTTATCTAACATACAAAATCTGTAACAAAATCTTAATTTGCCTTGATTGAAGGTTTTTGTTTCTATTACCCAAAATAGCTGTGGCTCCTAACTGAGAGAAGATCTGAATGGAGAAGAAAGATACAATTCACAGGTAACTACTTAATTCTGCTCCTAATGCTTATTTGGTATCCACAGTCCTTGTTGCCCTTTCCCCTCTGAGATCTGTATTTTGTGGACACTTCTGCAGAGGCGCACATGTATTATTCTATATATAAGGATCTCTTGATCCCACTGATGTCCTCACAAGTCTAACTTCTGCTGACGGCTAGGGGTAGCATCCCTTCTGTCATTCCTGGTTTTAAAAGCTTTTGCCATCCAGTTGTGGAAAATAAGGGACCTTTAACAGTAGAGTCTCTCTTGCTGCCTTGTGAAAGGGGCAGGAGGACAGTTGCTAAGAACAGAGGGGAGCTTTGGCAAGGGTCAGGTATTTAGAGTAAAGGGACTCGCAGGACCAGGGCCTGGTACAGATGGTTTAGGGGCTCTGTCAGGATGTGAGGGGAAAGCAGCCCTTACATGTGCAAACAACTAAGGTGCACTCCTGTAGTATTTAGCAGTAAACCTTTATGTTCTTATCCCCTAAGTATTGAGGGTGGTAGAGAACATGACCTTGCACTTAAACCATGTTTAGGGGTTACTATGGGCACAAGTGGCATTGAATAGACACAGGTCCAACTCTATATAAGAACTAATCATCAAAAAGTGCTGGCAGTAGGGATTTGAATCCCCTGTAGCTTGCAAAAGGGGGGTCAAAACACAAGGAATTTCAGATTAAAAGCAGCTGTATTTGGGCCTGCAAAATAGTAACGAGAGGAGATGGGGAGGCTCAAGGAAAAGAACATAGAAACAAGGTAGAAAGGCAAATCTGATGCTTAGAAAAACTGCATTAGCATGAAGTAATTATGGGAGTGGCTGAGTGAGTGGATAGTACTACTACCTTGGTTTGGTTCTGGCGGTGCTTGCGGAGAAGCTGTTGATAGCAAAGGGGGCAGGACTATTTCAGCTGCATGGGTTGACAACAGTCAAATCCCCTAATTCAGACAAGAGATTTCAGAAGGTTGTGTAGACTTGGAGGTATTTTGGGGTCTAAAATGCAAGATTGAATAATATCAGGCTTTATCCAAGCAAATCTACAAGCATGTCAGCTTCCCTAGAGTAAATGAGGTTAATGCTGTGCAACTAATCAAGCATTTTGAAAGCAATCTCAATGTATAATTGAGAATTGGACCTTGCTGCATGTCTTCAATTATTTCTTTTTAAATAAATGTTAACTCAGTAAAATAAAGATATCCCCTTAAATGGCTTCTAGTTAATTTGCTTTATTTGAAAAAGAATGTAGTTACTTTAAAAAAAAAAAAATAATCCCTCCTCATCTGTGTTTATGCATCTGGTGTTTAAAAACAATGCCAAAGTAGTTTATTAAGTATGTCGCCCAGACTGTCTGAGATGAGTACATTGCTGGTTCAGAGCAAATGTTAATTATGTTTCAGGTTTTCCTCTGACAAAGATACAAAAAGTTTGATTTAGCTTTTTTAAATCTCAGTATTTGCTTCCAGAATTGCTCGTTAGTTAGTCATTCATATTTCTGTGCTAAATATGAGAATGCTTGGCTTATAAAATGATTCAATCATGTAAGAGCTTTGACTGCAGGGAACGACAAATTCAGAAGCTTGTTATGTCAGAAAGGAGGAGGAGGAACTTCTGTTTAGGTCTTGCCTTCACAGGGAAAGGAAACACTGATAGTATCTGTGTAATCTTGCACTGATGAGCTGGCATCACATTGCTTTGAAAAGATTCATATTTGAAATCTGATGACTAAGTGGTGGTGGGCACAGCTGCTTTAGAATCAAGAGATAAAGGAAAGAAGGAAAACAAATCCAGAATTGCTATGTGAAAACCTTGCTGACATGTAATGCTGTCAGAACATTCATAAAGAGCAGAAACCCTATTCAGTGTCAATATCAGGTACGTGCTATATTGAATTAAATATTTATTTTTTTAAATGTTGCCAAAGCTCTGCAATTGGTGATAGCCACTGGATTTATGAACAATAACCTCTATAAGTGAAATGGGATAGTTAAATTATCGAGAGTTTTTGTTTCAGTTCCAGTGCACATTTGTTCTTAAAGTCTAACAATTTATGTAGGTAAAATGATCTTTCAACAGGTTTGTTTTAAAAATTCTTTGAGGGTTCAGAGAAAATTGTGGAAGCTTGCTATATTTTAGGACTTGGACTTAAAAATCTAGTTAGAATAGGATTGCTGCACTACAAGCAGAAGGAGTATTTTTGAACATAACTTAGGGGTTTGGATTTTTTAAGGTTTATGGAAAACTGCACAAATGAATGTGCTAATAAAAGGTAAAAGCCACTTCTTGGCATCATAGTATTTTTTTAGGACCTGATCCAAAACAAATCGGAGTTATTGGAAGTTTCCTCATTGGCTTGACTAGACTGTGGATCGGGCTTTTCAAATTCTAGGTCTCATACTGATAAATATCTCAGGTTTTGTTCTTGCAGTTGCTGTGTCTACCTAAGTAGTTTTCTCATATTAAAGTTGGTGATACAGGTTTACATTCTTTTAAAGAGAACTTCAGTTTTGAAAAGGATCTTCCTAATTAGACAAGAAGATACAAGCCTATTTCTTACATTTGCTTTTGGAAATGCTAAAAGGTGTATTTAACAATAGCTAAAGATTGGACAGCACGTGCGTAAATCTTCATCAAACCTATCAGAACCCCTGCCTGCGCGCTAGTAAAGACTTTTGGCTGGCAATGGTCTTTTTATCTTGGAGGTTTTTTAAGTGAGGTTTTATTAGAGAAAATAAATTTCAGTCTGGAGAGAGGATGGGATAAACAGCAAATTATGCAATTTAGACCTTGGAATGGCTGGTAAATATGCTATTTCTTTTTGGGAAAGGGTTCAGCCTTGTCATATAGAGAATGATGCACAATTACCATTTATATGCAGAAAAAGTTTTGATATGGTTATGAGTTGCATGAGAAACCGCTTTTGAAAATAAAGTCATTTAGCATTTGATTCTGATGTGCTGAGTTTTACCAGCAATCTGTTTCCTCATCCGTATCCTTGAAATTCCTTGCTCATCTGTTGTCCCCCTAAGAGGGGGAGAAATCTAAGACCGAAGTATGGTGCCTTAACTGGAGTAACAAATACATTTTGTATTTCTAATTTAAAGCTTTAGAACTTTTATTTGCTATTTCAGAACTTTATCAAAATTCCTTTTTATGTTTGTGAACAAAGGTTAAACATAGAATCACCCCTCTGTCGCTATCCTCCTTTTTGCTTTCCTTTCTTAACTTTCCTGTGTCTTTTTAAATAAGATGTAACTTACATTTTGCAGACACGGTGACTGTAACACAGTGTTAGAGGAAGACAGCTGTAGTGTCTCCATTCTCAGACTAGTAACTCTGTGTGTGTGTGTGTGTGTGAACAGTTCAGCTTCCTTGGACTTTCAAAGGAGAAATAACAATAAAAATCTTAGACCTGAAGGGATGGACTAAATCTTCTTTACAGTTGATCTCTTAAGTGCTGTAAATTATGAGAACCAATTAAGTGAGCTTCAAGTATTGCTGGAGAAAGTGGAATCACAAAAATGATTTTATATCCCGGTGAATTTTTTTGTTGGTAATCTGATAAATTTAAAATATCACGGGAAGAAAATACCCATAGTTTTAGAGACAATCTTAAAATGTTGCACTTGCAGAATTGCCTTCTGTAGCAGTAAGCCACTGTGACTGTCTATGATGATATTCTGATTAAGAATGGATTAAAATATATTAATTAAAACAACTATAAAGCTATGTTAGTATATGATCTCTTTAAATACACTTAGTTTTAGTTCTGGTTCTTGAATATTGACTTGAAGGTAAAGTAGAAAAGAACTTACAGTGAAAAGGGATGATGATCCAGGGGGCTGAATAGATTTTATATCTACTATCTTACTGTGCTCTTCTTCAATTACCTGCAACATGTTTTTGCTAACAGCAAGAAATATTCACATGGAAGTCTTTGCTGGTCCATTCCTCCAGAGGCAGGAAATATGAAAGTCAGGGAACAGAAATCCCAGAATCATTTCTCTGATTTCATTTTAATAAGATTAGGAGGACATTCAAGTTTTGTCTTGATTAATGTATTAGACAAATGTCCACCTGTGTGAATCAACAACAAAATTCTCACTAACTCAGTTGACATGGGATTTTACCCACAGTAAAAGGCAGTTTTTCATGTCCAGGTTGATGATGAGACAAATCTAGAACAGCTGTTTTTGTTTAAGGGACTAAAACATATACACAACCTTTTGTTACCTGGGGATGATGTTAAATATATCTGATCTGGGATTTCACGCAACGTTGTAACAGTGTTTCATAGCTTGAAAGGCAAGAATGAGCAATACCTTAGTTTCTGCGTTATTTCAGTGAATTAGTGATGATGAGGGAAAAGTTACAGCATAATTACTAATTTGTCAGTTGTAAGTCTTTTAAGTCATCAAAATTGGGTATTAAATAACTGTGTTGCAAAAAAATTTTTTTAAAGAAGTTAATAAAATTGCAGGGGCAAAAATATTTAGTCTTAATTTTCTGTTAACGTGAAGTTGTATAGCAAAATGAATACAAATGAAATAACAATATTTTACATAAATTCCAATAAGGAAAAAATTGAATTATAGCTAAAACCAGAAAAGCAGCTAAAATTGTACTGCATTTCATACATATTCATACATAGATTTCACTTCTATCCAATTACAGAAAAGGTTGTTTATTCAAGTTTTATGACTAAAAAGACAAAAGTTTGCTTTGTGCAGTAAAAGGTAAGGCAACCATGTATTAGGTGAGGCAGCCACGTATTTATGAACTGTGTTGTTTGGATACGGAGTAGAGCGAGATGCAAACTGGACACTCTCTGCCATCACAGAAGAAGCCAGTCCCTCAGTGTCTCCCAAAGCACTGTTCACAGTTTTAGTTGCTGCCTGAGTGGCAGTGAGGGAAAAGGCATCTTGCATGTGGCATGTTTTTCTTGGACAGACACAGCAGGCTGTCTTGAAAACAATGCTGACAAGTGCTGTTATTTGAAGAGGCTTTGGGCTTGTTGCTTAATAAGACCACTAGTGAAACAGTCTCTTTTGTTACGTAAATTAGTCCTACAGCATAAATAGTTTGCACAGTAAAGAGGCTGTGTGGAAAAAGCACAGTAAATAAGATGGTTTTACCTGGGGGAGGAGAGAGTGGAATAAGGGATATTGCACATTAGTCTGACAGGAAAGTCTGCTGCTTTTTGTCCACTCTTCAGATCACTTAGATCTGAAAAAATGATTCCCTGACAGCAAGTTTGCAAGGAGGGTTTTCTTATGCCAAAGACAACTCTGATTATCACTGTTCCCTCTCAGCCTCATAAAGCAAGAGGTCATTTGAGGAGCCTGAGGCATGGCACGCTCAAGGGAACAGCCAATGCATCATGTCTGCTTAGCCAGGAGAAACTAAATCCCACATTCACTGATACACATACTAAACAGAAACTCCCACCCCACGTTTTGGAGCGATGGCAGGTCAGATCCTCTGGTGGTATAGCATGTGCTGCAGAAATAAATTAGTTCATGTCATAGAATTGTTTAGGTTGGAAAAGACCTTTAAGATCATCATGTCCAACAGTTCACCTAGAACTGCCCAGTCCACCAGCAAACCATGTACCTAAGCACCAAATCCACACGTCTTTTAAATACCTCCAAGGATGGTGATGCAACCACTTCCCTGGGTAGCCTCTTCCAATGCTTGACAACCCTTTCGGTGAAGAAACTTTTCCTAATATCCAATCTAAACCTCCCCTGGATCAAATTGAGGCCATTTCTTCTTGTCCTATTGCTTGTTACTTGGGAGAAGAGACTGACCCCCACCTCGCTACAAGCTCCTTCCAGGTAGTTGTAGAGAGTGATAAGGTCTCCCCTCAGCCTCCTCTTCTCCAGGCTAAACAGCCCCAGTTCCCTCAGCCGCTCCTCATCAGACTCGTTCTCCAGACCCTTCACCAGCTTTGTTGCCCTTCTCTGGACACGCTCCAGCACCTCAATGTCCTTCTTATAGTGAGGGGCCCAAAATTGAACACAGTATGGCATTTGGGGATATGTCCTGTTTGTTTACCCACCAGTCTAATTTTGTTGCCTATAGATTGCCAGGGGGTCTAGGTTTTAGGAGCGGTTATGACCTTACTCTATTGTCCATTAGCCAAACGGCTCTTAATCTCATCTCAAGTTTTTATGCCTAGTGATGGACAGCTGCTGCCAAGGGCAAATCTCTCATCTTTGCTTTCCTCCGAAAGCAAGACAGACAGTATCTCTTCCTGAGAGAATAGGAAGTTTCAATTCCTGCTCTATTCCTATTGCCTGATTTACTTATTTTTCTTTACATATTGACCTTTTTTCCCCCTCCGTTTTCTGTCTTAAATTTCTGTCTGGCATGAGTGCATTGCTGCTGGCACTGCTCTGTCTGTGCCTGCTGTATATCCCCGCAGGCTTGCATGGGGGAACTGCTGGGGGAACAGGGAATAAATGCAGTGGTATTTTCAGTCCTCGATTTATTTATTTCTAATACAGGAGATGCTGAATTGTTATAAGAGTAAACAGAAAGAACTTGACTTGAGTCAAAGAATCTCAGCCCCTGTGCCAACTCATGTTTACGGCATGCCAATAACTAAGAGACAGTTGTTCAGTAACCCACCAAGCTGAGTGTAAGTCCTACTGGGCAAAACGAGGCTGTTTCTCCATATATATTTGCCTTTTTGAAGACAGATGGTTGAGCATGGTGCTCTGTTTCTCAGCAGAGTCATATGAATTAAAGATGTTCCTCAATACAAGCTTTTGTAATCACTAGAAAGTAATGAGGTGGAGGAAGGCTCCTATACGCTTGTTTTTCACTGTCATTAAGGGAGAAATGGTGTTTGAAGGAATTAGTTCCTTCTG